AAATGATCTTTGACTAAATCAGCTGATTCCTCTGTTGGCACATAGTCTACGATGACAGCGAGGTGACCATGTTGATGTATACGACATGTAATAAGTAGTCAAGAAGACACGGTCATCCAAATTATCAAGGAGGACTTGGCCTTGCCTCGCAGTAATAATGCTACCCCATATAAAAGTGGTTGGGACCGCCGGAATACAGAAGTAATGAATCTTCCACCTCGTGGTGTCCATGATCTATCAACCTTGCTTCTGTTAGGCCAGCAACTGATATGCCAAGACAATCCATTTAGTGTGAGACAGCAACCTGATGACCAAGCCTGTAAAAAGTTGCAACATTCCAGGTTGCAACTTTGATGGTTTGGCAGAGATCCCAGCTACAACTGGATACATTGTCACAGTATACTGCAGATGCGCCTGGCAACATCAGAGGATGCGCGTTCCCAGGAGGCTTTGGCACAAACCCATCACATTTGCGCCAGGGGAAGACAGCACCAGCAGGGCATCTGCAGCTGAGAGTAGGACAGAGCCTTTAATCATGGTGCTGAGCACTAACTTATCGAAAATGTTTCTTCTCATGCAACGTTTGGGGGCTGCATGGGCTTTGAAGCCAATGGAACTATGCCAATCTACCTAAGGATCTGGCTGGGTGCCTATAGCTGGCACCGGACCCATGGCCACTAATAACTGAAAACATTCTATGATAAGCAGTTTTGCCCTCCAAAGCTGCAAACAATTTTACAATGCGTATTAGAGCCAGGGCCAAGACCACCCCACTCCTCTCAGCTTAGTCGGTATATCAAGAAGCTCTGTCCAGTGGGAGGCAATGGTTTCCTAAAGTCACACACCATTTTGAGGGGAACAGTGCTGGAAACTGCAGGTGACAGATACAGACATGAGGGAGAAAAAGGCATAGTGTTGACAGCAAAGGATGACGTGAAACAGAGACAAAGGTATGGAAAGGGGAGGAGAAGCTGAGGGAAGATATAGGGAAGGGGAGGGCAAAGAAAGAGGGAAGTGAATGGCAGGAAGGTGAATAGATAAGAATGGTGAATTAGAGAATTGGAGAGGAAAGAACAAGAGAGAGGAAGATCTATGAGAAAGATGGGGAGAATTTCTAATGCTGGTGAAGGAAATGGCCACTTGCTTAGAAATTAAAGGAAGGAAAACAATACATCAGTGGTGCCTCATTGAAATAACTGTTTACTGCAGCTGAGAATGAAGAATTTCTCTCAAGTGAATTAAGAGTAACAGGTATAGAAAGCTTCTCCCCCCTCCACCTCTAGCCTGTCAAACTGCATTGGTTTTATCAGAAAGCTCCTGTTGAGCCCATCTGGTTGATGAACATTCTTATCAACTAGCAAATATAAATGACTTATGGGGATAATATTTCAATGTAAAATGACATGGCTATATCTAGGATTATTTGAAGATCTGTGTTTTAAATATTAAATATCAAAGCTGTAAATTATTGTAGCAGCTTTATATAACTAAATTAAATTCAAACAAAACCTAATTTCCTTAATCATTGACTATAATCCCCAGGAACATATGCTATTAACTCAGTTACAAATGGCACAGAAATTGTATGACTTCAGTTAAGTTATTTTATATCAAATTCTAATCCAGGGCAGAGTCTTCAGTAAATCTCCTACAGGGATTTTAATGCTTCTGCAATCATATTGGCTCTTTACTGGAGAGCTAATCTTTTTATACTCTGTTTTTTCACTCCTGTAGCCATTTCCTTCATTCTCTTACTATGCAGGTATATTCTACCATGTACCATGTTTATAGAGATTTGGCTTTTTCCACACTCATATTTGATCAGTGAGAGTCAAGATTTTTCTTACTCGAAAACTGGATTGATTATTGTTTTTTTAACACAAAATTGAATAATTCTGCATTCATCTGAAGATATACTTTAACTACCACATGTTGGGTTTGTTTGGTTTTGATTTTTCATTAGGACTGTCATAATTGTTCAGTTTGTAGCTAAATATTTGGTAAACAGGCTGATTTCCTCTTCAAGCATCCCCTTGGGAAAAAGAAAATCACAGACTTCATGTAAACAGACAGCTTCCAGAGTGGCTAAAGAATGTTGGTCAGATCATAAACAGCAACTAATTCAATGATGCAGGAAGGGTCATTAGAATTTCTGGAAGCCTATTGGCTTCTCCAGTACGCTTTATTCCAGATCAGAAGGATCGACATATTTTTTAATCGACTATAATATATCAAGTTACAGTTGCTGATATTTACATATTGCCCAGGACAGATAATTTACTGGGCAATATGGGGCCAGACAAGAAGTTGTTCACCATTTACCTCATTATGGGGTATTGATGGGGTCCTTTGGCAGAAAGGTAACTGAAAAAGGGAAAGAACAACCTACGTTATACATCAGTCTGAAAGTACTGACTTGAGAGAGAGCCTATGTCATGGTGGAGAAAGTGTGCCTTACTGTTATATGGAAGAGATTTTGAGGTAGCAGTTGACCAAAATCCCTTAGCGTGAATGGGGCTAATGCCAAATAACTGTAGTGAAGTATTGCCTTACAGTGATACTCTTTCAGGATATTTCAATACAGTGGGACATGAAATGCTAATATCAATGGGCTTTTGAAAAATAGGCACTGGAATGCTTCAACTTCATGTGATATTTTTATTTGACTGTGTGGGTACCCTGTACACAGCAAAACATTGACTCCAGTTACAGGGGCATGCAGAGAGAACCAATGTTATTGGTGATATTCTTACCTTGTAAAACAAAATTGCACAACTAACAAAAAGCATTTCTCCAAGATCTACCTACCTAGATTCAGTTAAGCAAAACTTGAAAGTCGATATGGTAACTACTACTAATATTACAGACACTGGACAACATGACCTTTGGATGCAAGACAAACAAAAGTATAACGATATGTGAGCTTAGCTCTGGAAAGTGTTGTGGGATGTTTGGTTGGCTGCATGGCCTCACCATGGTGACCCAGGCATGCAAGTATGGTATTCAAAGCTAGTGAGGTCAATCTAGAGTTGAAATCTGTCTGATAAAGGAAAAAATGTCAGCTACAAATTAGAATCCCATTATAAACAGGCTTCTTTCCCAGCTCACTCTAAAGCAAAGTCCATATACTTTGTAAAATCAAAACTTGCCCCTTTCTGGGCTTTTGTTAAGAAAGAAATTGACAATAAGATACAGTTCTAGCTCAAACCTTCTCCTCAGGCCTGGTAGTTTCCAGGATTCCTATTTCAGGACTGTTCACCCTACACCACAGATCCTCTCCTACCTCCCTTATATCTAGATGAAGTAACATGCTATCTACCTCAATGGGTCCACAGAACCCAGTTAAATCATTCTGAGCAGGATCAACACCTGTTAACGGTTTCATGCACACACTGCTAGCCTGTGACATTCATACAGTGTCCTTGTATGGCTTCACCCTGGGCTACTTTAGAGGTTAGGTCTGTTCTTGTTAAACATCAGCTTGAGTGCATGAACTGACACCCTCCAGATTCAAAGTGGGAGTGGGACTATACACTAGAGCATTACAGTGGTGGGCTCTTGATTGAAATTAATTTCCATCTCAGTTGTTTTTGTTGACCTCAAAGGCACACCGCAAAGCCCATCTATTTACCCAGGCGTTTCCTGAGTGGGTGCTTTAAGTGGTGGAAGTAGCTTCTTTGTCTTTCTTTAGGCAGGAGAATTTTAGTATTATTGACATTTCCTCCCCCTTCTTCCCCCAATTCTAGATATTTGCTCTTTCCAGCTGACATTTTTGTAAGGGCACCTAGCGACTGGGATGGGCATACACTATACAACTATCTAAAATAACAGGATTAACCTTTAAGAGACTTCAAGTAGCTTTTGTAAGCTATAAAGCTGTTTCTAACCAAATTGCGTTCTGCCTCTCAAAACCAGATCATCTGGAGAGTCCATAAAAGACTTTTTTTCTGCCACAGTAAAATCTAAGAGAAAAAGTATCCTTCAGAACTACAAATTCCAGGGTCCTTATTTGTTGTCTCCTTGTGATTCATATGGAAAAGGTGTGGTTTGGTTGGGGGTTTTTTGGGGGGGAGGTGTAATCAGTGCATGCTCTGATTTCTTACGCTGAAAGAATCCAATGCTCTGAATTAAACACACACACACCCATCACTGTTCTGGTAAGAGTCACAAACTGTTGCAAAAATGTTTGCTTACGTCCAGAGGAACACAGGATATGTAAAATCATCAGATAAGCTAAAGACCATTAGGGAGTCAAAACGAACCACAAGGAACCTGAGTCTCTGCTTTGATGCTGCAGTTTTATGCTCACGTGTCTCCGTTGAAATCACTGGAGTCACATGGGTGTAAAACTGGAACACCACAATGTTTCAGTCTAATGTTTAGCTTTCATTTGGGAAACTTTTCTTGCGTGTTATGCAGTGTAAATAAAATTATTCTCTATAACCGAGAAATTTTACTGTGTACGTTAAAGCCACTTCACTTTACATACTGTTTCCATGGAAGTTCAAGGAATATGCAACAGCAAGGAAATTCAGAGTTAACTGGCACAACATTCAGACTTTTGTGTATTTTTCTATTTCTCCCTAATGGCATGAGGTAAGGCTAGAAAGTCAGCCCAGATTTTTGCTTGAGTTCTGTATATTCTTCCTTTCGCTGCTTTGTCAGACTGAGTGCTGAAATTATTTTGCTAAAGCAACGTTTATCAGGAAAGGGGGGTTGTACAACTCCAACTACAGAAGCTGATTCAACTGGTAATTTTTCTAACATCTTTTGCCCTTTGATATAAATGAAACAACAGCAGCAAATGGAGAAAAGGGATGAAAGCAAAGGGATGAAAAAAATTCATCAGACACAAATCTCCAACTATTCTAGTCACTGACTGGAGGATTGGGGCGGGGGGGGGAGAGAAAGGAATCCTTTATGTGCCTGTGACTCAATGAGATCAGCAAGTGCTGCGCGGAGTCATGCATTGGACACCACTATAGTTTAAAAGCCTGGTTTTGATTTTTTTAAAGAGTTTTCAGGAAGTCTGGGGGAGGGGCAATGCAGTTTTTTTGTTAAACTGGGCCCCTTTGTCGAGATGGAACAAGAGGAAAGATCTATCTGCTTGTGGTGCATACACACATCAGTTATTCTCAGGGAAACTTCCCATCGCCTGTAAAAGGCACTGGGCCACCGCAGTACTGGGAGAGGGGGTGGGGGGCCAGCTGAGAATGGAGCTGCTAGTGCTGCTCAATGCCCTGGTTACACGGCTGCTCTTTGTTTTACACTCTCTGATCGGGGTTTGGAGGGTGACTGAAGTGAAGAAGGAACCCAAGTACTGGCTGCTGGCATTGCTCAACCTCCTCCTGTGCCTGGAAACTGGGCTCACCCTCAAGTTTAAGCAAGGCAAAGGCTACAAATGGTGAGCATATCCCCTTGGCTCCTTCAGGGTGTCTTTTGGCTCTTTGCATGTACACTTATTGCAGATCTGAGGCTCACTCTAGCTGGGTTGCTATTTTATTTCAGAGCTGAGACTCACTTTAGCTCTGCTACATAAGCTGCTCTTGCTTTGTCTTTGTCGAGATTTCAGGAATTTTTGCATCGACTGCTACAATAGGTTTGCAGATGGGATTTTGGGGGGCAGTAGAGTTCTGGACAAGCCACTGCAAAATCCAGAACATTTTAAAAGGGTAGTTTTGCATCAGGCTCTTTGGAAATCAAACTTTTGTCAGGGAAAGCATTGGAAAGTGTGAGAGTTTCATGCAAGGCATTTTTGTTCTAGGTGCTGCTGATCTAGAGTGCTGAAATAGCTAGAAAGAAAAACTACATAACTCCTTTTTGCTTTCTCTGGGCTCCTTTTGAGCAACAGCTTGTCAGGTAGCAACTGAGCAAGGGCAAAAATCCTGGAGAAAGCAGGCTGCTCCATGCCATAATTCCAGCAACCTCCTCCTTCTGCTAGTCTCACTGATATCCACAGTTTTCCTGGAATATTATTCCTCATCAGTGCTGGCTGCAACAAGATTACCCTGAACTGACAATCAACAAATAAAGATGTGTACAAGCCACTGGCATGGTATGATGTAGATTCTGCTCAGTATTTCAGTTTCTAATAGGTCTGAAGTTAAATATGGGAGCTACTACATTGAAAATGTTTCAATATAAATGAATGTGGGTGAGAGACAAAGATTCCTTAAAAACATACCACAGTTTTCCCTAGCACAAGGGTTTTACATGTGTCTAGAAAGTGCTCATACAAACAGGATGACTTTGCTTCTGTCCACATCCCATGTGATTCATTACTCTAAAGAGTGAGCCAAAGCAACAGCTCTGTGTAAGCAGAGGTAAATGTTTGCATCTGCCAATATTATTATGGATCTTCCATTTGTAGAAACTCAAGCCACATGTCCCTGAAAGTAAATAAACAGATAAAAAAATGAAAGATAGTTTTATGATAATAAACGCTGACACCATTGTGTGAAATATGTTATAAAAGTCCAAAGTATTATTGTGAAGCAAGCCACAAACTTTTCACAGTCTAAACTCACATAACCTCATAGCACTTCCATCAGTCTTCTACCTGAATCTATACCAGGGATGTACTTTTTAAATAATGCAGTAACTGTTTAGTGATTATAGGGATCAAAATACATGTTTATTATATAGAAACAGTGTAAGAACATCCCATTTTTGTCAACATCAGCAGTTATGCAAAGGAATATTTCACACACCTGTTTTCAGAAAATTAAAAGAATAGTATTAGCTGTGCAAATAAGTTTGCATTCAACAGAAATCAGTGAAAAGTCTTGGGGGGGGGAAATTGACTCAGGAGCTAGAGCAATTCTGCAGAAATGTTTTTTAAAAACTGGACCCAATCCTGCACCCTGTGACTTCACTGGGAGTAAGATCAGGCCTGATAACAAGGTGTCTAGACATTTGCGGATAATGGGTAAAATTTGTATGAGCACCTAAGTGAACTCAAAGCCTAAGCCCCATTGATGTTTTTCCCTGTAAGTTCAGTTCCCTTGTGACTTGCAAATGGGCTAAACTCTATATCACTAAGGCACTTTGAAATTTTTACCCAACATCTTAGTCTGAAGCATATCTACAGGGAGTTGAACTGCTACTTAAAATAGATTAATGATTCTGCAAGAAGTTTAAGGAGAACGTTTTTTTAAAAAAATGCTTGAGATGGATTTTTATAAGTTTGCTATTGTTAAAATCCCACATGACACAAACTGATACCTTCACTGGCATTTTCAACAGAGAACAGATGGAATAGACACAGAGACTGAACTACTCTCACCACTAGAAGGAATCCTTCCAGATGAAAGTCAAGGCATAATAGAGAGTTTACTGGAGGAAGCTTGCACTGCCACTAGTCATGCCCTACCTGGTCAGCGAATAAAAAAGGGGTGTTTGCCTCCAGTGCTGTCAATCTTTTAGACCTTTCCACAAGGCACTCAATTCAGCATAAAAAAATTTTTTAAATCAACTACCATAGAATATTGGGAACAACTAGCTCACCCTGTTTAATGGGTATATACAACGTATCTGCTCAGTCTTTTTTTAATTCCATATAAATTCTAATATCCTCCTCTGTCTTCTTGGTGGGGTTTCCTCTGGGATGATCACAGGAAGTCTTTGAAACAAGAAAGATACCTTTGGCAAAATGTTCATTTTGACTGTGGCTCTTTTTCCCCAACCAAAAAATTGTATACTTCCCCCCGCACTCCAGACCTCCTCATTTGCTCAAACAGAAAGAGATCTTCAAGATCTCTTTTGAAATTTGAATTCCCAGGTATCTTATAAAATGTTGCCCGTTTGTACCCAAATGTTTTCTGGAGGCGTGACTTTTCAGTCTGGCTAATTTAAAGCAAGCGTTTTTCTCAACTTTCTAGAAAAGCTGTTTTATATAGAATCGTAGAATATTAGAGTTAGAAGAGACCTCAGGAGGTCATCTAGTCCAACCCCTGCTCAAAGTAGGACCAACACCAACTAAATCATCCCAGCCAGGGCTTTGCCAAGCCGGGCCTTAAAAACCTCTAAGGATGGAGATTCTACCACCTCCCTAAGTAACCCATTCCTGTGCTTCACCACCCTCCTAGTGAAATAGTGTTTCCTAATATCCAACATAAACCTCCCCCACTGCAACTTGAGACCATTGCTTCTTGTTCTGCCATCTGCCACCACTGAGAACAGCCTAGCTTCATCTTCTATGGAACCCCCCCTTCAGGTAGCTGTAGGCTGCTATCAAATCACCCCTCACTCCTCTCTTCTGGAGACTAAATAACCCCAGTTCCCTCAGAATGCTCCACTATTAGAAGTGATGGTGTTTGGTCAATTAAGAAACTATATATAACATTTATATCAATCTTTGCAGACATCTTTCCTAACAAAAAGCTGGTCCATATATGGCACACTGGGAAAAGCACCTGGATAGAGAAATGACCCTAGAGAAATGAGGTTTGATTTGGAAAAGAGGACCAGTAGCTTCAGTCTTTAAGATACTGTTTCAATGCTACTTGACACCAGTCAGGTTAAAAAATAGAGAGATTGAATGGGGATGAATGTTGGAGAAATTGTTGGTGAAAGAGGAGATCTTATGCAATATGGTGGAATGTCCACTCATTAGAAAGTATTGGGATGCAGTCCATAACCATATATCACAAATTGCTGGATATTTATTACCAAGTGATCATTTGGTGATCCTTCCTAGCAGAAATGGTCACACAAAAGGAGATGAACAATTAATCTCTCTCATCTGCTAATAGTTGCTCACCTACTGATAGTGTCTCACTGGAAAAACAAAAAATATTCCAACCATAGAGGGATGGTTCAAAAAAATATGGGAGGTGATTGTAATGGCTGAGCCATTACAAACATTGAATCTATCTCCCCTTGTAAGTATTCTCACACTTGCTTCTTATCAAACTGTCTGTACTTGGCTACCTTGATTATCACTTCAAAAGTTTTTTTTCCTCTTACTTAATTGGCCTCTCAGAGTTGGTAAGACAACTCCCACCTGTTCATGCTCTCTGTATGTGTGTATATATATCTCCTCGATATGTTTCACTCAATATGCATCCGAAGAAGTGGGTTGTAGCCCACGAAAGCTTATGCTCTAATAAATTTGTTAGTCTCTAAGGTGCCACAAGTACTACATCTTCATCATCTGGACCCATGGCGGATACAGACTAACACGGCTGCTACTCTGAAACATGGGAGGTGATTGTTATTGAAAAAATTAACACACCAATTATATACCCAGCAAAATAGACAGAGGACAAATAGATATTTGGCTACCTTTTATTCAATAGTCAGACAAAGTACATTCACCTCCAAAAAAGCCTAGCATTCCTGTCCAATAATATTTGATAGACATGCCATGTCTGTTAAATATGTGTAGTCAGAGATTTCAGTCAATTTAATACAACCATTAGAAATGACATGCAATGGGTATTAATGATCACTGTGTAATATGGTAACACTTAAATAGAGAGATCTGGTGGCTACATTCCTCTATAATGTCTCTTTAAACAAAAGCTCAGAGTCCTAATGATTGTTTTGAGAAGGAGGTATTAATACTGCCTAAGTAAATTAATTCCACTACACTGGATATTTTCCTTCATAGTATTTCACAGAAGCATAAAAATTAGATGAGGAAAAGAATATTTGCTTATTTATTTGGATTTTTAAGAATGTAAAGAAGGATCTATCCCAGCCTCTAGATACCCCCGACATTTCTTTAAAAATCAAAATAAAAAACAACTGGTGCTAGCTGTACCATAAACTAGCAATAACCAGCTAATCTAGTCTACCCCCTGGCCATTGTAGGATCGTTTCCTAACTGGGATTCATGGAATTAGCTTCATTCTGAAAATGGTATAAGAAAAACCCTACTGATGCCTCTCTGTTCATATTCTTTATGGATATTTCCATGTCAACTAGCAGGCAGACGCTAATCCCAATTGAATAATGGAGTTGAACAAACAGTTCATGCACAAGTTTAGGTGCTGATCCTACAATGTATTGCACATGGAAAGAACTCTGGGCCCATGGAGAGCTCCTCTGAAATCAGTACAAATTGCAAGGCTTGGGTATGTAAAATCACCACAAGCTGCTCCTGAGGAGGAAACCAGATACAAAGAATTTCAAGTTAGTTTAACAATAAATACATCCAAGAATTTTGCTATCAAGAACATTCTGCCAACGGGAAAAGGGAAAATTTGATGAATTGGGACCCAACTCTGCAATACACTGCACACAGGATAACCCCTATGCCTGCACAGAGCCCTAGTTGTACTATGCTGAGCAGCTACATAAATGTCACAACATTGTCTGCTCTTGGACTGGATATCCCATCCCAAAAATGAGAGTCCTGCTACATGACTTTATCCTTCTAGATTAATACAATGCAATCAA